TTTTTTGTTACTAGATATTCATACTTGTTGGTTTATTTATTTAGCGAAAAAATAGTCTTTGCCAAATTAGTAACTCAACCTACTGCATAGCTATTAATTAAAATATCTGACTGTATTCGGCTATGCAAATATACAATGGTTCAAAATAATACACTGTCTTGATTTAGTGAACGGAGAGTGAAATCAGTAGTTTCGAATGTGTAAACCACTAACGTATATCATTATCTTAATTTAAACAGAGAGGAAATGGAACATGACTAGTAGTGGAATCAAGGACGTGTATTTTATCTGATTTACGACTAATCAGCCGTATAAGCCTGAATCTCAGAGTTGATTTTCATTTCAGTGCTAAAATCTAGTACCTTCTGATTCAAACAAACAACGTTATCCGTTTAACCACTAAATTCAGATAACCATTCACTTACGCAACGGATACGTTGTGCCCCAATTTACAATTTCGTGATTTTGAATATAATGTTAGTAATATTTTAACAGGATTCTATATAAACTGACCGTTGTATTGAGGTAATTCATATAAGATGCATATATGCCAACTAAGACTGGTTAAAGTATCAACAGCAGGACTAACACCGTTGCCACAAACTAGTCTGAATCATATAAGTCTTTTTTCTCTTAGATATCAGTTTAACTTTACTTACGATCAAGAATAATTTTTATTCATTTCAGATACCGACGAAGGATCGTCTGATAACAAGGACTCTCAAGCACCGGTTGTGACTGTACAAAAGAAACGATTATATGTACCGACATATTTATACAAGCATAAAGCTCAATAATATGAGCCTTTCTAAATCAGTCTATCTTAACAAAAATCAATTTCCTTTTTTTCAATGTAATGGTTTAAATAATACTTGAATTAATAAAAATATTAGTTATTCTAATGCATTTTTGTGTTCATAAAAAGTTGGGTTGCGAAATTATTTGATTTATGTCTTTGATACAATACACGTCTACATGAACATAAACGGAACATGTTGACATACTAGAAGGCAGGTTTATTGAAATAACAATGAATAGCAAACATATTGCTAATCAAATTAAATTTCTGAATGACTCATTTCAGGTTTGAGCTTGATATAGATTATTTAAACACACAGTGAACAGAGGTTTCCGTATTGAGTATTAATCGAACAATATACTATACTATATTGTTCATATTACAAAAACAACACTGGTGAATTACTTGGTAAGTGTGATGACAGACATATTTAAATAAGACACATAATCAATATTTTTAGTCGTGAAACAAGTTATGTACAATAAGTGACATCCAGGTGAACAGATCATTTACTAAACATGAACATCTCAAACTTTTTTAACTTATTGAAGATGACTGCTACTTTTGATTACAGATTATGAAGGATTACTGGAATTCAATGTTATTAGTGTTTATAAGATGGGAATAGTTTTAGCGGACCATGGTAGACAATCAAGGAAAGCGAATTTCTTTATTTAACTAGGAGCAACTGACCGAATTTTTGAAATATTTTAATAATGTGCATAGAAATAGAATTAAAAATAAGCGTACTAGAATGATTCCGAAATATTGTGGGCAGTCAATCGATCGGTGGTAAACAGGAGAGATTTAAAGCATTGGGAAACGCTAATTGCACGATTAGGATATAGCTACTGGAGGAAACATTAAGTATTGGCATGGTTAGAGAAATCGGTAAATTGAAACCTCATCCAACATTAAAGGTTTTATTTAACTAAAGGACACTTATATGTAACTCCCAACCTTAACTGCTACTTTGACATGGTGGTCGGGCTTGCCTATAGCGATGACCTTACTGAGCTATATTGACTGGAACACATTCCTGAAGGTCCTACCATGCCAGGCAGGTCGACTGGAGAACGGTAAGACTAAAAGCAGCAACTCAAGGCCTGAGAGCAAAGGTGTACTGCTGATTGTAGAGGGGTATGATAGCAGTAAGGTGTTTTCCTCGAAAAACCAGCATCCGCAGCGATACTGCCACTTCACAACGGAAAGGAGAAGTCAGAAAAGGTTGACCCTAAAAATGTCACACCTCACAGATTTTCGTCTCCGGTAATAAGGCCCTTTGAGGAACGGAGCTAACAATTCAAAAACATCACATAAAAAGGATCAACCGGCCTCAAGTAGTTGTCTCTTGGGCTCTTTGGCCACACTTCCAGGTCGTTAAAACCAACGCTAGAACCCAATTTCCTTTCCAGGTCCCTTAAGAAACACCTCCCCATGGTGTGAGTATCCGAGAAGTCACATCCGCCCTCATACCCGTAACGACACACAAGGTCAACTTAGTAAATATCAAATCCTGTTCTCACTTCCTAATAACTATTTTATCCCCACAACTAACCCTTCTCATATATCTTCATCACCTAATGTTAACGAATGAAATCCACAAAATATCATTCCTGGTTTTATGAAATCACTCTCTATACAAATGTTAAAGCTTCTAATGTCTGAAACTTCTGACAGATAGGACAACACGCTTCCTTAGCTAGAACTCTAGAATCTCGCGCCATCGATGCGTGGAGCGTCTCCTAATGGTACATACAGGATCCCAGTACAATCATTCATTCGACCTAACCACATCAAAATAAAGAACCGTTGCGATTTACGCTTCGTGTATCTGCAGACCCCACTGCTACGATCGGAGACCTCGCTGGTGTATGAATGACACCGAGTTTGAAAGCAGAACTGGTTTCCAGCAGATAGTCGTTTGTGTGTTGTCTAACTAAACGGGACAGTAAGACCTCGGAGAGATAAGGACACTGGCTGTTACATCTTCGTTGTATCCCTCTACGCTCCGACCGGTTGTAGCTCGGATGAGGTAAAAGATGGATCTTACGGAAACCTTTTCAACTTTCAAGAGAAAGTTAAACCCTCTGATATAGTAATATTGGCTGGTGATTTTAATGCTCAAAATTAGGTGAGACGGAAAGATATCTGGATGAATCTTATGATATCGCCGCTTGAAGAACAGATAATGGCGGATGTCGCCTTTTTCAGATTGTAATATAGTACGAACATGCATTTGTCTGTGGCTTAACAGAAATAAGAATGACACAGCAAGGAAACCCCTTGGAGTTGTAATTGATGACTACAAATCCAACGGTAAGTTTAGAGGTATTTTTTCTGGTTAGCACTTTTTGGCGAGTTGCTCGACCCTCCACCATTGTCCAGGCTTGAGATCGGCAGTGACTTCAAAAGGGCCCCAGGCGGAGCAACTAGAAAAAGCTAGACGGCCATGTAAATGATGCTCACCTCAGGGCAGCTTGCAATAATATCCAAAAAGCCGCGGAAACGGTAGTGATATCTGCCAGTAGAACCAACCTAAAGATTAGTAAAGAGCAGTAGATTCCAGTAGCATCTTTCGAACTGATAGATGCTCAGAAAGTCATCCTGTTTGGCTCCGGACATGATGAGGAGCGGAGTCAGCTTAGGCACAGACTGATAAAAAGCCTAAGCAATGATCGACACCGAAAGCAAAAGGAATAGAAAAGGCAGCCGTGATAGGGAGCACTAGGCAACTGTTCAAACTTATCAAGGAAACTGATATCAGGAATTCGTTTGTTAGCGAGACTCTCAGGAAATACGAGCCTATTATGCACTCTCAATCCAGGAAGTTCAATCGTTAAGTAGAGTATTTTAGGGAGTGGTTCTTATGGTTTTCAACCACTTACTTACTTACGCCTGTTACTCCCAATGGAGCATAGGCCGCTCACCAGTTTTCTCCAACCAACTCTGTCCTGGGCTTTCTTCTCCAGTTCTGTCCAATGTTTGTTCATTCCTCTCATATCTTTCTCTATTTCCCGGCGTAGTGTGTTCCTTGGCCTTCCTCTTTTCCTTTCGCCTTGAGGGTTCCATGTGAGGGCTTGTCTCGTGACGCAGTTAGGTGCTTTTCGTAGTGTGTGTCCTATCCACTTCCACCGCTTCTTCCTGATTTCCTCATCCACTGGAATCTGACTTGTTCTCTCCCACAGTTCGTTGTTGCTGATGGTGTCTGGCCAACGAATACGAAGTATTTTGCGTAGACAACTGTTAATAAACACTTGTATCTTCTGGATGATGGCTTTCGTAGTTCTCCATGTTTCCACTCCATACAGTAGAACTGTCTTCACATTTGTATTGAAAATCCTGATTTTGGTGTTGATTGATATTTGTTTGGAGTTCCAGATATTTTTCAACTGTAGAAATGCAGCCCTCGCTTTGCCAATCCGCGCTCTCACATCTGCATCGGATCCACCTTTCTCGTCGATGATGCTGCCCAGATATGTAAAGGTGTTAATGTCTTCCAAGGCATCTCCATCAAAAGTGATTTACCTGGTGCATGTTGTGTTGCATTGGAGAATTTTGCTTTTTCCTTTATTTATGTTGAGACCTACTGCTGCAGAAGCTGCTGCTACACTGGTCGTCTTCTCTTGCATTTGTTGTTGTTTACAATCACACTTCAGAAAAACATTGACCTAGGTACAGGCTCTCTACTCAAACACAACACACATGCTTTCAGAGGTAATACTTTCACCATGACTTTTCCGGAGTCCAAAGGCTACCAGGAGATTCACTAGTTAACTTACAAAATGCAGATGACATAGTTAGGTCTGCTGAAAACGCTAACAAGAAACAGTCTTCTGATCACCTCAGGCACTAATGCTAACATATTCGGGATGCGATTCTCCCTCTCCAAATGCAAGATGTCTCAGGACTGGCTTGTGTCGGCACCAGAACTAGTAATAGAGAGTGAAGTAGTAGAACACGCTATCTGTTTCGCCTATCCTAGGAATCACATCAGTCCTGATATTTGACAAAATCTCTGCACTGATAGAAAAAAATGGCTTGCTATTTCCATCTGGCATCATTTGTGACATTGTTTCCGTCTGCAAGCCAAAGGATAAGTTTGTTAAGCAGCGGTTCCCTCTGTCCTACTTTACGGACATGAAACATGGCCACTAAGAATAGATGTTGCAGCCCACTAAAATTAGATCACAAGTAACTCTGAAGTATTACTCATACATTTATGGCCATCGGGTTAGTAACTGATTGAAAATTTAAGGACACAATATCCATCTCTCCACCTGGAGACAATAAGTATACAATATATTGACTAAAATTAATTCAAAATAATAAGTTTTGTAGCAAAACAACTAAAGAGGAATGTTTTTGTAATACGGCAGTTCACGGTGCCAAATTGCTTCTAGTGCGTCAAGAGCTTTCCGCCCAAGAGGTAAATCATCGTAACGGTCCACAAATGATTGTATAACACCGGGATAAGTTGTAGGATATGATATTAACTCAACACCATTCGAGGTTTTACGGAGTCCAGGTTGAACGAAAATAGGCCGGGGTTTTTTGCGATCGATCACAATTTGGCGTATTTTAAGATGTTCTGGTAGTAATTGACAATAATGTTGGAAGAAAGCGGAACCGTCTTTAGCGTTCGCTGTACTCTTATAATACTGAAACAAAAGAATTGGAAGTAGACATTATGACATGGTTTTAGTGAATGAAATTTTACAAAATAAGTGGTACTAACAGAAGACTGTTCGTCAGTCAGTCAGTCATCTATCATCAAGGTATAGCATGGAACATTAATGAGTTAGATAAGGTTACCATACAATGTTGTTTGAATATGCTACTACTCATCTAGACATTCAGAGCTGATATGTGCAACCAATTATACATAGAGTAACTACTTAGCACGAATTCACTTAAACAAGGTTATCATGTAAGGCATCCATATTATGAGAAAATCATAAAAATCAAAGGTTGAAAATTAAAATAATAATAACACTTGTCAAGAACAAAAGGTGTAAAAAAAATTTTAAAAACTAGGGAAAATTTTATTTTATGAGTATGGGATTGTGGAGCTTCTTTGAAATCATGAACCGATCAATGTTAGATCACCATTAAAAACCTGGAGACACTGGGCGGCTGTTTCGTCTTGATTTGAAGCTCCTCAGAAGAACGCATTGACAATTTGGGGACTCAAAAATCTGATCTAGAACCCGTAACCTTTAGACCGTAGTAGAGTCAGCATCCGATAGTGTTATCGAAAATCTTTATTTACTTAAAGTTATGTCACTTGCACTATTTGACAGTGGATAACAAGCAGCTTTCAATTTCACATGAACTTTGGGCCAAAAGTCAATGATTTTATGAACTGATATCATACTACGATATAGAATTCATTAGTCTTGCCAATATCAACTCTTGAAGTTATTACAGTGGTACAGTATAAGTAATGGTAGATATGTATGCACGATACAGATTTTTTAGCAATACGAATCCATTAAAAAAAAACATGAAATGAAAAAAAAGTTCTCACTTGAATTTTTCGTAAAAATTCACCGATTGCTGGACGACCAACTGACAAAATCTTTTCACGATCTAAGAAAATAGTTAAATCGGGTGCACCATCTTCACCGACTATTTCGTCTATACGTACCAATGAATTATCAGCTTCAATTAAAACCTATTGAACAAGAAAAAAACAGTTATATCTTAAAATTTACATACCACTCAGGAACTATATGTGTAAGGTTTGATAATAATGAGTTAGTCGTGGAGATAAGAGAGATAGAAGGGGGTGTAGGAAGGATTTGATTTTGACCAATTTGGTCTCGTGTGCTGTTACGGGTATGAGGGCGGTTGTCACTTCCCTGCTGCCAACACCATGGAAGGTTGTTTCTTGAGGAACCTGAAAAGGAAGGTGGATTAGAGTTGGTCTTAGAGACCTGGTTGCGTGACCGCAGAGCCCAAGGGACAACTGCTTGAGGCCGGTCACGCGCGGCCTTTTTTTATGAAACTTCATCAGTTGAGGTGGCTGAGACGTGTGTTACGAATGACTAACCACCGACTGCCTCGACGAGCTATGTTTCGTGTTTTAGGAGTAGGTTGGAAGAAAGTTAGGCGTGGCCAGACCAAAACATGGCAGAAATCCATGAAGTCACTGACGAAAGGACTGAGTCATGTTGGTAGATATAGGCTATCTGGTTGGGGTCCACGAGACGAAGGTCACCGATGGTTAGAGACCTTGAATGACATGTCTCAAAATCGTTTGCAATGGCGCAAGTGCATCCATTCGTTGTGTTCTCTCAAATCCTAATCTTGTGGATTCGTCAGCACCTATGCCTTTGTCTTTCTAACCTTACCTCACTGAATTATACTTCTTGAATAATATCTTCCAACCCTAGTCTTCTTCATTACCATTAATACCTCTACTATCTCTATCGCTATGGTATTTGATTTGACATTTGCGTCTCTGTGTTGATAGGGTATGGCAACCTGAACTTATGTACATACGTACGAAGTTCTACGTTGCGACTGACTGACTGATAATATTGAGGAAATGAAAAGAAAACTATAAAGAGACTGGCTAACTTATTTCACTAGAAATTACAATTCTAAAAGATTTCTATATAAAGCCAGATACTAAAATGCTTCCTCTGAAAAGAATTCACAATGTATTCATCAAATATGAATTAACTAATTGCTTGGATTTCATATGATGCAACAAAAGTAATTGGTATGGATAAAATTATAAATTATAAACTTAAGAAAAAAGATAACTCTAATTATATGAGAAGTGAAGTTTTATCGTTCAGATAACGCAATAACCTGGAGGAATATTACTCATATAAGAATGAGAAAAGACAAGAGATTCTGTGGGTTGGAAAAGAAGACATCAAATTAAATGAAAATTGAGTTACGAGGTGTCAAATCCTTTAAAAAGTATAGTTATTTGTCATGATTAACCATTTTATTAATGAGTAATGTGATCAACGGGATAAATGAATTAAGCATTCCCTGTGGACTGACATTTAGACCAATTAGTGAGAATGTAGACACAAGAAAGCAAGATAGTGAAGGTACATTTAGTAGGTTACACGAAGTAGACGTTTAGTGTAACTTACAGATTATTTTGAAAACACTTACTCGTAAAATCACATAACGTGCACAACAATGCGCTTGACGCCATGAACCAGTACAACCAGCATTTTCTGCAGGCGAATAGAATTCCATAGAAGTTAAACCCGAACGAACCATAGACAACCAGTTAACATAAGCAACATCTGGAATACAATCTGCGGAGCAGTCAGTATTAACATCGAACTGTTTCAAAACAAGTGGTAAATTGCACAAATAAATTCCAACGCATTCAGCTCGACATTCTTCAATTGCTGAAGATAAACTTGAAAATTTGCTGTCGTACGTTTCACCTGGCTCGTACCTTAAGAGTCAAGAATAAATAGTACTGATGAAAATACTTGCAACACTTTATAGGAATGAAAATTAGTTTTATGCGCTCATTTACATATAAATGATTGTTTGTACGCAATATTGATTTACAAATATTCAAGAGGAACATTGCTGTAATAAAACACTCGTTGATGCTTAACGCGTAATTTTTTTTTTTTAGTTGGTACATATTCAATAATAACCAGGTTGGTTTTCAAGTCAAGATGTGCATGAAAACATAAAATTATTATCGAATCGAGGATTGTATACTAACTTCTGGTAATGTGAACACTGGGTAGTTGGAAACACTAACGAAAAATACATGCTTGCATTGTTGCTTAGGATAGTCAGAAGACTCTGCATTTTGTCAGCGTAGAACTGTCATCAGCATACTGTAAGTCAGCAAGCGTGTCTCCTGGTAGGTCTACACCTGAAAAGTCTGACGAGGATAATGGTAACTCTAAAAGCATGTCTAAGACAAAGTTAAACAGGAATGGAGAGAGTTGACAGCCCTGACGGAAACCACTTGAAGTAAAGAATTATGATGACAGTTCACTCAGCGTTTGATTAAGACAATCTCGCAAACTCTTAACATGTGGTCCACTCCTGTTGATATAGCTTAATTAAATCGACACTATCATATTTTGCTTTGGCTGCTCCTAGCTTTCTTCCAATATATTCTTATACCAGATACCACCCACCAGGATGCGCTTGGCTAGGCAGACGTAGCACAGGTTTCGACCACCTCAGTTAAAAAAAATTCACACACCTGATCAGTTAATCTGCCGTGTATCCTGGGACAATCGAGTAAGCAATGCCGTCGTTAGGAGACGAGTACCAGATAGAGATGGTAAATCAATAGATGAAGTACTGGAACTTCAGTTGGGGTGGATGGGACATGTTACGTACACCTGACAACCGACTACCTCGACGAGCGACGTCTAGCGATGTAGGGGTAGGTTGGACGAAAACTAGCGGCGGACAAGCCAAAACATGGCACAAATCGATGAAATCACTGACTACTGTATTGCGTCATGTTGGTAGGTGTAGACTACCTGGTTGGGGTCCGCGAGATGATAGTAACCGATGGTTAGAGACTTTGAATGACATGGCTCAAAGTCGCATGCGATGGTGCAGGTGCATCCATCCTTTGTCTTCTCTCAAGTTGTAATCTGATGAATTCCTCATGACCTTTATCCTCTTTTTGAATTTACTTCACTGAGATATCCTTCTCAAACCATATCTCTGATCCCTAATCTTTCTCATTACCGATAGTATTGATACTACCTCTACCATCTTTCTCTGTTAATGTGGTATGGCAACCTGAATTGTCAGTCAGTCAGTCAGTCAGTTGCAACGTAGAACTTCGTACACAAGTACATCAGTTCATGTCGCCATACCACATCAGCACAGAGATATAACTGTCAATTCAAATCCAATAGTAGAAGAGGTAGTAAAGGTATTAGAAGTAATCGGAGGGGTTAGAATTAGAAGATATTATTCACGAAGTATGATTCAATGAGAAAGTTTAGAGAGTCGAAACTAGAGGTGTTGGAGAATCCAGAAGGTTAGGGTTTGAGAGAACACAAAGAATAAATGCACTGGCGCCATTGCGAACGATTTTGAGCCATGTCGTTCAAGGTCTCTAACCATCGATTATTATCATCTCGCGGACCCCAACCAGGTAGTCGACAGTTACCAACATGGCTAAGTTCACTAGTCAATAACTTCATGGATTTATGCCATGTTTTGGTTTGGCCGCCCCTAGCTTTCTTCCAACCTACTCCTACACTACAAAACAAAGCTCGACGAGGCAGTCGGTGGTTCGGCATACGCAACACGTGTCCCAACCACCTCAACTGATGAAGTTTCACCACTTCATCGATTGATCTACCATTCTTACCTAGTACCCGTTTCCTAATAACAGCGTTGCTCACTCGGGTGTCCCACGATATACGAGCAATGCTTCGAAGACACCTATGATTGAAAACCAGTAACCTACGAATATCTTCTACTCTCACTGGCCATGTTTCACAGCCATATAGGAGAACGGAGCGAACTGCTGCACAGTACACTCGTCCTTTGATTAGAGAACGGATATCACGCCTACGCCATAAGTGACGCAGGTTGGCAAAAGCCAATCGAGCCTTCTGTACCCGAGCTGAGATTTCGTCAGTCACCAGGCCATCGGCACTGATGAATATACGTACCAAGTTCTATGTTTTTGTTGACCACTGATACTCTTACAACCTTTACTGCTTTGAAGTTTCGCCTAACAAATAGGGATATACAAACTAATGGCAATTCCCTACTCTTCATACTTTAGAATAAGATCCTTCCCATCCACTTGATGTATCATGCCGGAAAGTACAAGTGAGTTGAGAAATTAAAATCCGAAACATAGTTTATTAACTCCGTGGCTTAGGTTTAGCTGTTTAGAGAGCTTCAGCCTTTTTTACAAGAGTCTGCAAGATAATTGCATCTTGATGAGGAAACTTTACGTGACATGGACAAATCTCCAATATAATATTAAATGTTACTAACTACTTCGCCACTTTAAGTCATTTTTGTTACCGTTAATACTACTCTATCGACTTCCTATCACTGTGAAGTGTGACAGCTTAGACAGAAGTATGTTAGCATCATGTTAGGTTATGGCTGGTTGCGCATCCTAATGTTCCACCTGCTACGATTTTCAGAAATCCACTTAGTCGGATTCAGGTTAATATTAAGGGCTAGAATTATATAATGCTTGTTATTTGATAAATATGAGAAAATATGAACCCCCATATTAATTAATATCTATAGAAATACAAAAGTAACTGACATACCAACTTTGTATAGGACCTCCACTAATAATATCTTTCGTAGAATTAGTGTCGAAATTTAGTTTTCCATCGTTATTACGTTGAAACAGCTTCCCAGAACCATGACCTAATAATTCATGAAGTCCAACTTGTAGCTCAAAAGAACTCTCTGCATAATCCACGTACAACTTTTTATCTTCCGCTCGTACAAATTCTGATTTAGGATCCTAATAAGAAAAATAAGTTAGACAAGCAAACTTTACCTTGAAACGAGCACTGAGAACATTGCCCAAGGATACATTTTTGAATCCATCAACTTGTCGCACATCATCATAGTTTGGAATGTTAATTCCAACAGGGATTCCAGAAGTTGCAAATGTTACTACGTCTAGACTTGTAAAGTCTGGTTGCAAGAAGTGGTCTTTTTCGTAGGTAGAAGGCCATGGCAAATTAGACAGCAATTCAACAGCATTATCTACTAGTCGTTGAAATTTGGATGACATTGATCTATTCACAACTGCGACGAATGACTCGAATTCTGCACGTACACCTAAAGGGTCACGATAAGTTTCGATAAAGCCAATATAGCTTTCAACTACAGGGCCTTTGTCCTTGACCCACAGTCTAGATGCATCTTTGTGCGAGTCTACTGAGCCAGTAAGAAAGCTTTGAGCATAATGGTGCCACATTTCTGATTCAATTTTGTTAAGAGAGTGTTCTTTGGCATCTAAAGAGCAGTCGACCAGTAACTTCATCAGTTCACAGTAGTCACCGTATTCCAACTGCAAAGAAGTTCCCGGTGGAAGGCCATCAAAATGTGCAGGTTGAGTTTTTTTCTCGGCCGATGCAAACCGAATTGAGTAAACCATAGAGTTGGAGTTACTACTCTTGAAAAGTCGAGTGTTATATGCTTCAGTTTTTATGTTTTCCAGATATTTTTGAACTATTTCGGCATCACTCCGAACACAGTCTTCAGAGTAGTAAGATGTTATTTCGGTGGGACCAAAGCCAAGGCGTAAACGGCGAGAATTTAACGAATAAATAGTTGGTGCTATTTCTTCCCATAGAGCTTTAAGACCAGTTTCTGGGTTAGAAAACTCACTACTTAGTGATAAAAATTCTGTCACCCTGTCAACACTGATAGCTGGAATAAACTTTGTGTCCCCGAAAGATAAGTAATTCCCAAAATTACCCAGCACTGCGGCAAAGTAAGATAAAATGTGATTTATCTCTTCATCGGAAAAATTATTTTTCGCCGCTTTTTCAACAAAGGTATTTATGTTCTCCAACTTGAAGAAACGACTGATAAACAAAAATATCCCAGCAGATTCTGGAGACGTTTGGATTAATCCAATGAGACCACCAATCCAAGACGCTTGTGTGCAGCTAAAAACATAATCCTTTTCCACATTGCTAAGTGATTTGAACGCTTCAGTAACATCAAGATAATGCACAGGAGGAGGTACGTTAGTGTAGAAGTCCATATTACGACAAAGTATAGGTTGTTTATAAGCTCTGAGCAAACTAACAGATTTAAAAAGACGTACTGTTGGGCGAAAGATGGACTGAAGATGTGAGCGGAAAACCTACAAGGGGTATAAAAAGTGAGCCTGATAGTAGCAATTTGCAAAGATGAAATTCAGAACATACACGTTTGCATAAACTACAAATCGAACTACGATATTTATTATGTTACTCGGGTAAAGTTAGTTACCTACAGACTGAAAGGACGCGTCACTGCAACTCACAAGACAAATTCCATCAAGCTATGGACCTTTCAGCCTGTTCAGTGTTGTAATTAAAATACTAGAAAGAACAATTGAAAAGGCCATACTGACCGTCGCAAAAATGAATAGCTTATTAAATAGTGAACAACATAGGTTGAGAAAAGGTTCGTCATAAAAAACACCTCCTTATAGCAATAGAGGTGGACAGTCACTAGATTATGAAGACTTTACAAAAGTATTTGATGTGTCGAACAATAGTCCTCTACAGGTTGGAAAGTCTAGAAACTGCCAGACCTCTCGTAAAGTGTATCAAAGTTTTCTTGAGGTTGAAGACAGCAAGTAATAATAAATTCCAGATTCTCTTCTTTGAAATTACTACTCAATGGGATACCGCAAGGTTCTTTACTTTTTGTGCTACAAATAAATGAACTCTCGAGTACAGTTCAATCGTTGATGCCATTTTATGATGATAAAAAAGTTGTGTCAGACATAAAGGGGGAAGGAGAAAAACGTGCACTTCAAGCTGACTTAGGTGTCCTGGTTAGCTAGTCTAAAACATGACTGATGCCTACTGACGCATCCAAAAGTGCGTACAAGAACACTGGAGGCGTGGTACGATGGCAAACAGTCACGGTATTGGAAAAGAATCTATGAGCTAGTCCAGTCTCACAATGATCTTGGGGCGACAGTAAGTCAAGATCTTAAAATCACGGCTCAATCGCCTCAACCAGGTAAGGGCTTTAGAACCCTACGAACTCTAAGACGGACATTTACCAAGTTGGATACTAGTATGTTCACCACAGTGTACACCACCTTAATGAGATCTAAACTTGAAAACTGAGTTCGTGCTACAAAGCCATTCTAAAAACGTGACTTGGAAAAAGTAAAGAGGACAATCCCAGAACTCCAAGGTTAGTTTTAAACAAAACGGCTTTAAAAGTTCGAACTCCTGACTCTGTCCTATCGTAGATTAAAAAGTGATCTGATTTTTATGTACAGAATACTAAGAAATGATATTGGACCAGATATATCTTTTTTGCTGTTAGTAGATCAAGACAACTCAGAGGATATAGTAGAGGAGCACAAAAGCCAAGGACTAATAAAATACCCGCAGAATACAGGTTTTGACACCGAGTTATCAACCCTTGGAGCCCGTTAACTAAAGAAGTTCTATCAACACCAAGAGAAGAATAGATACTTAGAAACTTACTAAAAAAGGACTGAGGCCGCAGGCTATCTGTCCTCAATACACAAATTTGAATATGAACAAGATGAAAAGTGAAGTAATATCGAACGAATCCTAAAAGTTGCATAAACGTGATGTCCATGGGATCTAATGTAGAATAATCTTTACAACCTGCGTTTACCAAAACACCTCTCACAATATCATCCGATTTTGTTTGATGTATACTGTCAAAAGTTTTGGACGTGAGGATTTTATGAAATGTACTGATGTGAAGACATACGACCACAACTAGAACTAACCAAGCCGAGTATAGTGCTAAGAAGTTTTACAGATGACTACATGTATTACGAAGCATTATCGTTCTATAGGTGTTTTTCACAGAACAAAACACTGGATAGCCAACTTTATAACTCACTGTGGCAGAAAAATATGTGAAAACTTACACAATATACATTAAACATACAAACTTAATCTTAGAATCTTCTGAAAAGTGGTTTTCGTTCACAGAGTCCCTTGATTTCACTCACTCGCTGCTCGATAACGTATTTCGATCCACGTCAAATTCTTGAGACGTAATAATGGACTTGGGATTTGAAAACTTAGAAACGGTCATTAACTAAATAAGGTTTATCACCTCTGAAAACTGGATTTTTATATCCATAATTTTTATTCTCTATGTCAACGAGTTACTGAGTCTGTTTAATTCGTAAACAATGTTGTTTTCAGATGTCAAAATATGGAGAACAATAAGCAGTGAGGGTGATTATCTTGATTTCCAAGCTGGGCCGGAAGAATAAGTCAGATTATCCCACAGTCACTGCTTAGAAATTAATTCTAAATAGTTCTAATGTACACCGAACAAGGCAGTAGTTCCTAGTATACTGTCAATTGCACACTGCTATCGGTGCAGGAATAAAAAGGAGTAGGAGTCAGTGTCATAACTTGTAAATAATTGTACATTGTAATGGAACAGACGCCATAAGTTTGAGCGCGTTGTGGTTACGTCGCCCAGCATTAAAACGCTTTGACAAGGATGTTTTTAGCCTGAGTTCCGATACCAACTTCATCAAAGCTTGGAACTTGAATGCCCAAATACGACGGTGTGGAAAGTTTGTTCACCCTTTCCAAATGATCTCATATGGCCACAGCCATCTCAAAGTGGGAATGTTGTTCGTTAAATTGACAGGACAAAAAGTGAGTATCCATTGCTTTAACTGGGTTTGTGGGTACGAAGGATCCACCTAGGGAAGTTGGAATGTCCGGGTTCCGAAACCAATGGTGTAAATAGGCTCCGAAACCTGATGGAATAAGTGGCAAACATGGAGTGGAATTCTGTTTTTCATACCGAGTAGTCGATTACTGGAACGCGGTACCCGAACAAATAATACCAGCCCCATTGACGGACACTTCGGAAGCTAGACCTTTACTGGAAGGTAATCCGCAAGGATCAGCACAGGTATACTGAACTACTATCTTAATTACTGAGAGCTTACAAGTATAATTTCATATGTTTGCACTAAGATACAGAGTGCTAAAAACCAATCTGTCGAAAGCACTTTCCCACGGTCTGACCTTATATTATCTTTTTCTGAGAAGCACCTATTAAACTCTTAAAGAGGGATTTCCGTGAAACATAAACGCACGTTATTTGCTGTCACGAATCCAAACTCTCGTAACTGTGTTTGTTAAGTTACGCAAAGTGATTTGTAACTAGTGCACTTAGAAATTAAATTTGAAAATCGTTAACTGATGAAATTATATTAAGCCTCAAGATAAAGTCATAAACTGTCAAGAGAAGAAAAAAACAGGACAAACTAGTCGATCATATCCTACTCTTCCCGACAAACAGAACCTCACCAACGTGATTGGTCACGTTTGAACTCTGTACCTTTCAGTTAACCTATATCCAATATCCAATATCTTTTTCACGAGCCAGTACTAAACAATTGATTTCTTTGCGCTCGATTCTTGTTCTTTCGGTACGGTTACAGGTGTTCGGTAGTGTCCAATGAATTGGGGTCTAGTCACTCGACTGTCTAATTCTAGTCATTTGGCAGATGGTTGTGAGTTTGTATGTCCGGTGATTTGAATAAAAACGTTTGTTTCATGGCAGTAGGGTTTTTGGATACCTGCAGCTATCACATTACTAGACCGGAGATCAGTTAGTTGCACTGTGGAGAATAATAGGCAGAAAATTTTAATGCTCATAGGAAGACGATATGAGGACAAAGTGAATGAATAGATAATTTAGTTTATTAATTGATAGTGGAGATTGTGCGACAGGACCGTGGTGTAAGCAAGCTAGAGGAAACAGAGATAATAGGCGAGATAGATTAATTTAATGATCTAAGGAGATGGCAATGATAACAACCAGCAGGTCTCGAGACATGCATCAGGCACCAAGAGGGAGATAATAATCCGTATGTGAGTACGTGGTTATCATGTCTCTTCTTAAAGCCATCCACTGAGAGGGTTGTGGTCACCTCGGGTGAGGGAGCATTCCAATTTGCGACGGCTCTCAGTGAGAAAAAGTGTGCCCGAACCTGAGTATTCCCTCTTTGATGTGCATTATTTCGAGTATTGCCTCGAGGATAGTTGTGGCGACGCATCGGTAAGTTGCTCACGTTGGGATGGTTTGGTGTGTTTAACATGTACGCCATAAGCAGATCACCTCTCTTGTAACTCAGGGGGAATAATCCGAAGTTCTGGAGTCTGTCTTTGTAAGGTTTGTTCTTCAACCCTATGATCCATTTCGTTGTTCGTCCAAGATATTTGTCTCCTTTAAGGAGAGGTGGTGCGATGACGGTTTGAACCTCCAGGTGTGGGCGCTTATGTCTTAAATAACGTTAAGAATAATTCTGAGGTGATAGAAACAATTTGTCTTCGAATAAAGTGAAAAGTCGCATTTGCTTTGGCTACATCCCCTATGTAATTCGGGCTTGCGTGAAGGCTTTCTGTGGTTACTAACCCGAGATCACGATCTGAGGTGAAATTAGGGAGCGGACTTCTATTAAATGTGTAAATTGTTTGCGTCATGTAGAGCAGAATGTGTATGACGTGACTATTCATTTGGTTTAGTTTTAAACCGTTTTTCATTGGCCATTCCACAATAGATGTAAGGTCCTTTTGAAGCTCAGTCGAATCCTCTTCGCTTATATTGGGCCTCCAGATCTTCTCATCGTCTGCGTAGATCAATGTCGGTGAGCTAACTGTGCCTAGCAGGTCGTTAATAAATATCAGGAAGAGGAGAGAACCTAACATAATCCCCTTTGAAACCCCCGATGTGGATACTCACCAGATCGCGTGCACTCTATTTACCTTGATGCGAAACTTTCTATTCTCAAGGTAGTTTCTGACCCAAGGTACAAGTGTATCAGTGAAGCCCTTTTTCACAACCTTTGCGATTAGACGTGATTGAGGTACTGTGTCAAAGGCTTTTGCGAAGTCGAGAAATACTACGTGCACTGGTATTTTACGGACCAAGCAGGATGTCCAACTGTCCCATGCTATGAGAAGACTAGATACACACGACCTGCCTTTCCGAAACCCGTGTTGAGCTTCATGGAGTATTTTCTTCCTATATATGTACTCTCTCGTTTGTTCGTTCACCAGCCGTCCATTACTTTTGGTAATATTAGTAGCAATGCAACTGGTCTGCAACAGGCTGGATCCTTTCTATCTCCTCCTTCGAAGATTGGAGAGAGAGTAGCTTGTTTCCATTGAGCTGAGGGTTGGTGTGACTCCAGTGAGCAGAGGGCTTCATCACATTGTTTCAAGACTATGGGGCGAATATTGTCACAACCTGGTGACTTTCCTGGGCGAAAGGATTTTAGTTTCTTTAGTACTAAGTCGGGAGTGATACGGATATTCCCTAAGCCGTCAGCTCGCGCCGGGTTTGCGTAGCACCATGAACATGTGGAAGCCTGCTTTAACTGATTAGTGAAGTTTGTGTTGAAGATTTCAGACATCTCTAGGTTGATGAGGTCATTATTATTTAGCTAATTAAATTTTAAAACTAACTTCTATTACCAGTTTCCTTTTTTACTTCATACATGTATATTTTCTGTATCTTTGTGCAAACTTTATAATAAAATATGAAGCGATAAATAAATTCCCAAAACAAATAGTTCTATAATTCTTCGACGTTGATGTTTGCTTCACTGGTTTCGTCATCCATACTCCAACTGAAGGATCCTAGAGGCATCCATACCATATCACCAACGGATACGCCGTGCTAAGCGTAGCTACTTGACCATGAACTTAATTATTGACTATTTCTATTGACCTCTATAAATATCTGTTCATTCTGTACAAGACATTTGGGGTTCGATTTCAATTTGGGAAGGATACAGGTCTCTTTGGCTTATGTTAGTCCCATCGGAAAACTTTTCTATGAAAGGGGTAGCTTCATAGGTAATCACAATTTGAAACGACCTGCTTTATTTTGAAGGGGAGTATGAGTTGTACATATGTAGTCACATACTGTAGACATATCAAGTCATATTGGTCTTGAGAATATTAGATCTCTCCAAATAATCACTCTAGAAGCATTTTGGTTCCTCGTACAGGCTTTAATATAAGTGTTCTGTTCCTAAAAACCACCGCTACCTTCGATGACATTTGTTTAAAGGACGTTAAGTTCCAACATCATTCGATCACGCCTTTTCCAGAGTACATTCAAAGTGCTATTGTGTCTTTCTTGTTTCGCCGTAGGGTGCTCTTGCTGGCAGTGACATGACAAATCACGTCATAAATCTTTAAATTCACTGACTACTGAACTAACTTGTGTCAATAGGTGTAGACCACCCAGTTGGGGTCTACGAGACAACTGTTACCAGTGGTTGGAGACTTTGAATAACGTGCCACAAATCACTTGCAATGTTGCAGGTTCGTCCATTCTTCTTCTTCTCTCGAAATCTAATCTTCCAAATTCTTCATGACTGTTTCTTCGCTTTCTTAATCTGCTATTGTGCTAATGTGGTAAGGCAACGAGAACTAATGTACGTACGTACCAAGTTCTACGTCATAATTAACTGATGAATTTGCTCTTCATTGTTTGTCTTTGGATTTTTGTATTACAGCAGTCTGAACTCGTGTCGTCCAGTTACATTTTGACATGTCACTCTTAAATACGATATTTTGGTGAAAGCTAATCGTCACCTCACCCTAATGACTGGTATTATCATGTTAAATAGCCCCGAAATTTGTCCAAAATATTGAAGACAAACTGAGGGGATAAAGAAGTTTCGAAAAAATGTACTCTATAAGTTTTCGACATCGTCCCTGAACCAAGTATTCTTACTGGTAACAGTCGTTGTTGAAGACGCCTGGTAAAGCATCCTCATTGGAATGCAGTTTGGTATTCCTTGCTGCATAGCTGTTGTTTTGACACACAGGGTACATTCAAGCTAGACACCATCGTACTAAAGACTGAAGGACTAGGGCCCTAGATTAGATTAGTCGACAGATACATTCACTTAACGAATATTTGGACTATCTTTAGAATAACGTATCTGACATGCTAAAATTCATGTGTCAAGGACCGAATTTAGAGTCTCACAGTCAAGAATTCAATATCATTCTAGGATTAAAAGTGGTTTCTGAAAGCGACCCCGAAGGATGAGTGACGAACAAATAACTAGACAATAATCGTCAAAAGGAACAGTTAATTACAGATTGATTTGGTCGTTCTGTCCATCGAGCTACGCCCTGATATATTACCAGCACCTCAAGAATAAGTGTTCATCTATGTTGCTTACCTCTATAAAATCATTCATCGACTTGAGCCATTTCGAAATCACTCAGTGGATGACTGAGTTACCAGCTGTCCTACCCACCAAGTATCAGATGGAATGATAATGAATTCAATATGCGGTGGATTTTATAGTTAAAACTAGTGAAAGTGATCTATTCCTTGTTCAATGTTTGTCTTAGATGTTCTTTTTTCATATTACTAGTATGTTTAATGTCCCTTCCAGTACTGGATTTCACTATTTCTGTCTGTCGGTTGAGAGAATTTTGTGAGCTTCTGGAAAACTGATATTCACAGGTCACAAAACTAAGTCTAATAACATAAAACTTATTTATTTTTGTAACTATTCTTAAGGCACAAATTAGAAAATACATGACACAATAGATCAAGCTCTAAAACCATTTTATTGGAGACAGAAAGCAATCTTTCACACAGCATTTGATAAACGTTCGTTTTTATATTGGCCGTCCCTTTAAGTTTGATCGGCAATATCAGCGGTACCATGAAATTAGTGTTCGTTTGGACAGATAGGCTTTCATGTGATGAAAACGACTTTTTACTGACTAAAGATACTACAAAAATAGGGGTTAAACGTTATCCCTGCTATTTGCAACTAGAGGATCTGCAACCGTAACGATTTCGGAGGAGTAAACCACAAAGGTTTTCGAACATAAGGGATAGCTTGATAATAGTTGTCAACATATCACAGATACGTGGCGTTTAACGACTCTACCATCCTAGGGAACTTTAGTGTCTACTAACTTTAGGTTTCGGGCAGCTTACACGGAGGAGCGCCCTCTCGACTGTAAATGCTCATTATAGCTAGACCAGTACTTGGAAGTTTTTTGAAGCTCGTTCAACTCATTGGATACACTGCATTAATAATGTTCCAAGATAATGTTCCCAAGAACAGATTTTTCGCAAAGCGCGCTTCTGTCTTCTGGATTTGTAATGTGTTGATTTCCAACCATAGCTCTTACTGACGATTGATGTCTTTTTGAAGAATGATTAGTTTAATGTCGATTCATAAGAAACTGTTCGAGCTCATGCATATGGTCGACTCCGATCAAACAACAAGTTTGAAAATCAGAAAATTGTGCTGATTATTTTGCCTCTCTTGCTTTTCGCCGGTCGTTCTGGT